CCTCGACTTACGACCGGTTGGGTAGTCCTCGACTTACGACCGGTTTAGTCCTTGACTTACGACCGGTTTAGTCCTCGACCTACGACCGGTTGGGGGTCGTGGCATTAAAAAGGTTGAGAACCACTGTTTTAGGGTAATTTGTTTATGGTTCAATATTATATGGAAACCTAGAACATGGATTAATTCAATAAAAACCCTATGTGTGTTGTGTAAACAAAGCTATTCTTTATTCATAAAAGGACATAATCCACTTCCATGGTATTTGGGGGAAAGCTTTTTCTCACACTGGCCCTAAAAATAAAATAAAGAAGAGAGGAAGACAATAAATAGCAGAGGTGATCTGTGCAAAAGTGAAATGATGTGAGTCTGAAAATAGCATTGGGATAAATTTTCCCCCTTGATCTGTCCATTTATGCCGCAGGAAGAGGAATGGTGAAAAAAGAAACAGTAGTGGAATTGGAGGGCTGGGCATTCAATTTCTAATCCCTTGTACATAAATGCCATTATTGACACATGTACAAAAAGTGCAGAGTGTTGATTGCATTGTTGCAGATGCCATCTTGCCTGTTTTGGCAGTCCCTCCCCATCCCATGAATGCTCTGGTTGACAGCCATAGCTACATCTTCCGATGGCAATTTCCACAACAGAGTTCTTGAAGAAATAATGTCTTTAGTATGTCCTGAAAACTCCATCATTCAGTTTCATTAGATGATCCAAAAATAATATACCAAGAGGCTTTTTTTTACTTAAGCTATCGCGTCATTGAGTTGAGGAAGACACCTCATAATTGTTCGCAGGATGATTGGAAAAATATAACTATAATGGAAATACACAGTTTAAAAAGATAAAAATAACGAATTGCCCAGGTCTTAAAAATTTGGAAATCACAATTAATACAAAGAAGAAACAAATGCATTGTCGCTCAGCCATTACCTTTTCGGCATTGCCATATATTGGCAGCAGTCAAATATCAAAGGGGTTTTTTTTCCCCATCGGGTTTTTTGTTGAGTAACTGATTTTTTTGGTAGTTTTCATGTAATTTTCTTAGATTGATAGTATTTTTGTATTTCTTTCTGTAAACCTCTTAAGTAATTTAAAAAATAAAACAGTTTTGAAAACATCATTTACTTTGTACCTTCTGTTTCAGATGAAACAGAAGCCTTTTATTACTGGTTTGTCACACAGTCAGCCAGATGTTCAGACTGGATTTTGCCTGTCACGTCCTTCCCAAGGACCTTGATAGGCAGATGTGGATGTTTTGATAGTGTTACAGATGTCATTGTAGGATGTAAGCTGTTCCAAGATGCCTTTTGCCATTGACTTGTTCCAACAACGTTATTATTATTATCTGGTTAGTTTTACGATATTAAACAGTATATTGTCATTATGTTATTACTGTGGATATTTTGATTATCGATTGAAGATTGTAAACCTCAGAGCACCCCTGCCATGAATGATAAATAAATGACCCACAAATCCACATCTCAGGTCTTAAAATAAGAGGGAATCTCTGCTGCTACTCACTTCCCATAATCCTTCCTTACCTGCTGTTCAAATTCAAGATTCCCATTCAGTTGCCGGTGGGATTTTGCTCTCACCTGGTTTTCACCCAGGAAAATTCCAGAAGACAAAGCAAACTACTGTAAAACTTCCCTCCCTTCCACCCTTGTAAAAAAAACCACTTTCCAGTTAGGGTCTTCAGCCTTTGGTGTTCTCAAGTTTTGGTTTTCTCCACCCCTGATCTCTTGATTGGTTTTCTCCATACTGAATATTATGGTTGGTCGCACAGTTAGCCAGATAGTTAGGCTGAATATGGCATTTTTATCCATCGATCGAGTCTTTCCCAAGGACCTGGCATAGGAAATATTGCTTGATGATGTTAAAGGTATCTTTGCAGGATATAAATGATTTGAAGTAAGGCTGCTTTTTGCAATTGACTGATGGTGATTTTGTCAAAGCTGATGGTGTTCATGTAATGCACCAGATGTTTTGGGATTGAACCCAATCCTATCTTTGCTTTCTTTTGTCACAGTCATTCTGTGTTCTGTTTGCAGGTCTTTGCATTTTATGATTTTTCTCCAGTTCTTTCTCTTCTGTTCTGCTGTGCCCTGGTACTGCATCCTATACAATCTAGGCTCTTTTGTCTTTCTCATCAACAATTTAAAGCCTGGGCTGCTATGTGTCTGGTTGAACTATAAAGTCCAGAGCCCTTTAGCTTATTCATTCTCTATTACTTTATCTCTTTTGTAGTTCCACCAGTTTTGCTTCTAGGTAGTGGTATTTTTTTCAGATAGCCCAATGCATAAAGTTGCTACTTTGTCATGCCATTTGCTTGTAGTCAGTCTGGGTAACCTTGCAGTAGCTAATTAGGTATTTTTTCGGCTTCTTTGCAGAGCCGATATTTGCTGTCTGTTGCTGTCTTCTCAGTTCTGGCTTTGTATAGCAATAACACTTAGCAATAGCATTTAGATTTATATACGGTAGGGCTTTATATCACTCTCTAAGCAGTTTACAGAGTCAGCATATTGCCCTCAACAATCTGGGTCCTCCTTTTACTGACTTCGGAAGGATGGAAGGCTGAGTCAACTTTGTATGCAGTGGTGGGATTCAGCCGGTTCGCACCACTTCAGCAGAACCGGTAGTTAATTTTTGCTGCCCAGGCCCAGAATGGACTTCCGGAAGTGGCATCCACACAGAGAACTGGTTGTTCACATAACTGAATCCCATCACTGTTTGTATGCATTTGTCCTTAGTCTTATGCAGCCAGAATTAGCCTCTCTGTCTTTTTCTTCCGCTTTCCTGCTCTTAGCCATAGGCCGATCTTACTATTACTTGCTTGGCCTGCTACTTGTTTTATTTGTTTGTTTGTTTGCTTATTTACTCACCATGTGATACTTTGTCTTGCCATGTCTCTTTTCTATTCCTTTTTTTTATAGGGCAGTTTGGTCTCTTGGGTATTCTGTAAGCCTTCAACTATCTGGTAAACTTGCAACATTCCATACCCACCTACTTTTCCTGGAAAGTAAAGTTCTATAATAATAATAATAATAATAATAATAATAATAATAATAATAATAATAATAATAATAATAATAATAATAATAATAATAGTAGTAGTAGTAGTAGTAGTAGTAGTAGTAGTAGTAGTAATAATAATAATAATAATAGTAATAATAAAGTTGGAAGGGACCTTGGAGGTCATCTAGTCCAACCCCCCACTCAGGCAGGAAACCCTATACCATTTCAGACAAATGGCTGTCCAGTCTCTTCTTTAAAACTTCCAGTGTTGGAGCATTCACTGCTTCTGGAGGCAGGTTGTTCCACTGGTGAATTGTTCTATCTGTCAGGAAGTTTCTCCTTAGTTCTAGGTTGCTTCTCTCCTTGATTAGTTTCCTTCCGTTGCTTCTTGTCCTGCCTTCAGGCGCTTTGGAGAATAGCTTGACTCCCTCTGGATAAAGGGTGTGATTCATTGTCATTACTTTTCTAATCTTCCTGTCCAGGGCTTTTAGTTCTACATGAGTCCAATTCACTCTTCTATCTAATGTGTGGAATTGCCCAAGTGTTAATGGTATTTCCTCCACTGAGTCTGGATTCTAAGCTCACTTTCATGATGCATTCACTTTTAATCTTCTTCCTGACTTTAAGGGTTTGATGTTGTCAGCCCGAAGGTGCTCAGGTATTTATGATCTTCTTGATCCAGACTCATGATATTATTTCCATAGAGCATCTTGATACCATCCGTGTTCATTATTTTTTCCCCTGTCGATGGTAAGGGTGGCACATTTTGTCCAAACTCTGTGGCCGTATCTTGGCTGTGCATATGGACAGTGTTGAGCGGTGATTCTATTTCAGGTGGTGTTTTTCTATACAGCTTCTGATCATTGATGTAAAGGAGGCGGGATAGTCTCTAGTCTAGCAGATATTTGATAGCCATTTTGTTGTTGTTGTTGCTATTTACACAGCAATGTGAAATCACAACTACCAGTCAATTAGCTGGCATTGGGACTATTCAATAGTCACTTCCTGGTGCAAAGAAATGGAAAGGGGATAGAACAAGACTCATCAAAGTTTTACATCATCCTGGACCACCTGCAGTCGTCCAAATGTTTCTCAAATTACGGTTCCCAGCAGCCCCAGCCAGCCTGGCCAGTGGCAAAGTGACACAGGGAGTTACAATTCAGTAAGGTTTGAGCGGCCTTGCCCAACCAAGTAAGCAGGACCCCCGCCCATTGAGGCAAGTCATTCCCAAGCCTTAGGTCTCCCCCCCCCCGCTCTCCTCTAAGAACTCCAGGGACCCCCCAAAATCGGGGGAACTTGCAGAGGGGCAGGATATTTCTCCCGCAAACTCGGCTTTCCGTCGACCCTTGATTCCTCTTGGAGCTCCCGCCAGGGAGACAGTCTTCAGTGAGGACCCTCTTCCATCTGTCTTACGGCAGCGTCCTCGGGAGCCAATCACAGCCGCTCTTCGCGCCGCTCTTCCTTAAGTTCAGCCGTCGGGGCGTCTTTGAAAAAGTCCGGGATGCGGCGCTTGGGCGGACAATGGCGACAGTCCTGCGGAGTTAAGCCGGCTCGGCGCCGAGAGCATCCGCGGTCCCGGAAAATGCGCTTCTCCTCTCGTTGCGCTTGCAAACCTAACTCTGGCGGTTGCAGCGGCGGCGGCGGCGGCGGCTGTAGCAAGCAGAGAGGCACCAGAAAACAGCGGGGGAAGCGGCCTTTGCTGACCGGGTCCTGCACTGTGAAAGGGGAGGAGGGCGGGCTTCCTGTCCCTACTTCGGGCAGCCGGCTGCATCGCCGGTGGGATTAGACGCGCCGTGCACCTCTTCCGCTAAGAAGAGATTGAGACGCCTGGTTGTCGAGGGAGGAAGGGGCTGCTTGCCTCGGCCCCCTCCTGCCCGGTCCTGCTCCGATTTCAGTTGCTGAAAACTGAGGCTCTCGCAGCCGCGCGTTGCTTGGAAGCAGGACTGCTCCACTCTGGAGGTAGCCTTCTGCTGCCCCTCCGTATGGCGGCAGAGCCCCTGCCTTCCGAGGCCTCCTGGGTCAACTGGATGGGCGAGCCCACCGTAGCCTGGCAGAGTGACCCCATCAGCACCAAGCCCGGGAAAGCGCCAGGTGCCTTCCAGCTCGGGACGCAGTTCTGGATCTTTAACCACAGCGGAGAGGAGACCTCGCCCCCGTTTCTGACCGACGCTTGGCTCGTTCCCCTCTTTTACGCCCTTATCATGTTGCTGGGCCTGGTGGGCAACGGCCTGGTCATCTATGTCATCAGCAAGCATCGCCAGATGCGCACAGCCACAAACTTCTACATTGGTGAGTCCACTCAGTAGCGACAGAACTCACCTGGAACCCAGGTGGGTTCCAAGGCGGCAGAGTCAGTTAACATACTTTCTTCTGTAATACTGTAAAATGAGGGGCAAAAAAGATTCTTCTAGTAGCACTTCTGTTGGATGTTCTGCCTTAGCTGGAACCTAGAACCTTAGAACCTGTCAGGGTCTTAGACCTAGGTTCTCACTCTGTCCAGTCGTTTCCATCAACTTCCATCAAGACTATTTCAATGAGCATTTAAGACCATACGCGTTCCCACTGATAACACCAATTGCTTGTAACATTACACTCCGTTGTGTACAGTGAAGTTGACATTTCTCATGCATTAAATTTACTTGTAATATTTGAAAGAGGGATGATATTGCTTGCCACTTGCTCCAAGTTGTAAATAAAGTGTTTTTAAACGTTAGCTTTGATTACATTTAGTGATTTCACAGACAGATGGTTAAAATACTTTCTTTTTTTAAAAAAAAACACCACCACCACACATTCACTAATCCTTACTGCATTTCCAGATTACACTGATGTGTTGCTCTTTAAGTTCTTCAGCACTTTTGTCAGGTAAAAATCCACAGTGTGTTATAACTTTAAAGGAATACTATTCGCTATATATATATTGATTTACCAATCAGAAATTAATGTAGAAGCATATTGCTCAATGGATTTTTAAAGTGTTTTCAAGTTGTGGGTGCTACAACACTGGAGGCTTTTAAGAAGAGATCGGACAGCCATTTATCCAGAATGGAATAGATCTCCTGCTTGGGCAGGGATTGGACTAGAAGACCTCTGAGTTCCTGACCAACTCTGTTATTCTGTATTCTGACTATATTAAGATGATGAACATTCCAAAGCTATTTACAATATGTTCAGAGAAGCTAGGTTAAAAAATCTTATCCCCAAGCTCTGACACATTTTCGTATGACATACCTAATTCAAAAGATATTGTACTACACTTATAGTATTCCAGGTGTGGCTGTGCTACAACTCCTAGCTTTCATCATTATTAGCCACAGTGGCTGAGATGATGGGAATAGAAATTCAGTGTTTCCCGGAGAGCCATAAGTTCCTCACTCACAAAGCTGGGCTACCATATGCATCTGAAGAGGTGGGGTAGCTATATCATATCCCTAAGTGATCTGGCATTATTATGCATGCCATTCTATATAACTATTTTCACATTAGGAAAAAGGTATGCACACTTAGTCTGGACAAAAGCTGTATGCTTCATCTTTCAGAGTTATCTGAAAAGTTATCAGTCCACTTTCCATCACTATTAGAACCTTATTACCGTATATATAATTTGCCCCTTTTATGTAATCATTCCGTTAAAATTAGGAGTTGAATTCAGCTGACCTTCATCAAACATGCTCAGTTCTCCTAACCTTTGTGTGGCATTGCGTTAAATACAATGGCAGCTGTAGGAATTAGTAGTGCAATACGACTGTACAGTATTTTTGGGTTCCTCATCCACAGCTCACTTAAAATATAATCCACTAGTCCTTCAGTGGGTAAAAAATTATAATTACAAATTTTGCTGCTCCTATTGCTGCTCACTCTTGGCTGCTGCTAAGTGCTTCTGCCTTCATTTACTGTGAAAAGGGCCACTTAAGGGAAAGGACTGACCGATTCACCCCAGTTTTGCTTCTTCCATTCTGAATAAATATTTCAGCCAGTGAGAAACATGAAGAACGTGAAACAACAATGATAGAAGTCAGGAGGAGGGAGATAAAGATCCCTGCGATCTCTACAGCACTTTTTCTCTTGAGTCCCAGACAAACAGGAATCCTTTGTGTTACCTAGACAAAACTGTAAGACCTGAATCAGGGATGGAGGCTGACATTACTTGTCTCAGCTAACCTTATGCCACAGCTGACCTCAACTTTGTGTCTTTCACAGCAAATCTGGCTACCACTGACATCATATTCTTAGTGTGCTGTGTTCCCTTCACTGCCACTCTCTATCCCTTGCCCAGCTGGGTGTTTGGCGACTTTATGTGCAAATTTGTCAACTATTTACAGCAGGTGAGCTTGAATGATAGAAGAATATCTATCTATAATTGTATTTTAATTCCCACACGTACAGTTGATGATATAAAGTGGATATATTTCAGTGTCTGCAGATGGTGCCAATTACATAGCTGTATGTTAGGACTGGCAACTCGCAGGCTATTTACATTTTCCCCTCCAGCCTTCCTAAGCTATTAGAGATCTACAGGGACTATAAACTATTCACAGTGAATGCAAATAATGCCGTTCTTGCTTTAAAGAGGAGAAGGAGACGCACGAGCAACTGAAAGGTGAATTTAGATTTTGGTGTCTCTGCCACATGCTTTTGTCTTCTCACCAGGTGACTGTCCAGGCTACTTGCATTACTCTGATGGCTATGAGTGTGGACCGCTGCTATGCTACACTGTACCCATTGCAGTCGTTGCGTTATCGAACCCCCCAGGTAGCCATGGCCGTCAGCTTTGCTATTTGGATTGGTGAGTAAGGCTTGCAAAATCTATAAGCATTTATGCCTTTGGAAAAAAGAAGAGGCTGTGTTGCTTGAGGTGGAAGGGAGACCAAACCCATGTTGACACATCCAGACTCACCTTCTTGGGATTACCCTGATAATCAGTCATCAAATCACTGACCGCTCTCTGGGGTTGCTTACTTAATTAAGAAGTGAGGTCAGAAGGTAAGGAAATGTAAAAAGTGCTACTGTTACTTTGAAATATACGTGTATATAAAATAAGCAGGATGAATACAAAATCAAGACGATCCAAGTGTGCTAACTTTTGAAGCCATTATTTCAATTCAAACCACTAATCTTCCAGTGTCATTGGAAGTTGGACTGCATATAAGTTTCATAAATCATCATTTGACATTGAGTTTGATGTCAGAATCCAGGACTTACCTTCCCCTAATCCAGTGGTGGCGAACCTATGGCATGCGTGCCAGAGGCGGCAGTCAGAGCCCTCTCTGTTGGCACGCGTGCCACCGCTGCCAGCAGCAGGTCCATCAGGCCGCCCCTGCTGCCCGGAGCGGGAGCCCCACGCAGCACAAAGGAGGTGAAGCGGCCGACTAGCAAGCTCGAGTAGAGGTGGTAGAGCAGAGGTCACCAACCATTGTTGATTGGTGGATTGGAAGAAAAGGGAAGGGAAGCATTTTACATGCGTGCATGCGTGCATGTGGCCGCGAGCACGCATGCTGCAAATGGGGCGGGGCTAGTGCCTATGTGATACCCACTAGCCCTGCCCCATTCTTATGTGGTGCAGCGCCTTGTATCTGCACCCCGTGGCATGGCAGCGGCCGTTTTTGCGCCTTGCAGCGTGGTGGCCCATTTTTTTGCCACCAGTTTTTGCGTGTGAGAGATGGCACTCAGAGGTGCCTCCCTGCCCCCTGCCCAGGGCACCACAATGCTGATGCGGTCCTGGCACACTCAATTTCTTATAAATCAGCAGTCTCCAAGCATTGGAGTTCATCAACCCCTTCATGAAGTTTCAGAGTTTTTATCAAACCCTAAACTTTTACTATATGAAAATGATTGAATAAATACTACTTTAACTAATAGTACTATGTAAGCTTAAAATGTTTGATAACCATTATCTTTAAACTGTTTAAAGTTCAAGTTGTTGACTATCATTACAAAGCTAAACATTCTAAATGATGGATTTTTGAACTTGGTCATGTTTCAGTGTCTTCTCTTTTGATCCTTCTGTCTCTGGGCTAGCTTTATAAATACTCTGAACACCACTTTCAAAAACATTCTTCCTTACCTCTAATATATATTATGTGAGAGCCAGTTTAGTGTAGTGGTTAAGGAACCAAGCTAGGAACCAGGCAACTGTGAGTTCTAGGCCTACCTTAGCCAGCTGGGTGACCTTCGGCCAGTCACTTACTTTCAACCCTAGGAAGAATCCAGTGATGCACCATTTTTAAAAATCTTGCCAAGAAAACTGCGAGGACTAGTTTTTATCTCTATTAGTAAATCAGCAACCATACTCATCTACATATACATGCATCCATGCATCCATGCATCCATGCATCCATCCATGCATCCATCCATCCATCCATCCATCCATCCATCCATCCATCCATCCATCCATCCATCCATCCATCCATCCATCCATCCACTGTTCTGCTTTCCAAGAGATAGGATCATTCTGGTTTTCCTCAAGTCTTTCTAGAGTTTGTTTTCTAAATGCTCATCCAAGGATTGTGACTTCTGGTTCTATGACCTCCAGGTTCCTTCATTCTCTCCTTGCCCATGGCTATGTTTCACCGTACTGAAAATGGCTACTGGTATGGTTTACGTACCTACTGCATTGAAGCTTTCACAAGCAAGAACCAGGAGCGCAGCTTTATCCTCTACACTTTCCTGGGTGTTTATCTATTGCCTCTTCTCACTATTTGCTTCTGCTACACCATCATGCTCAAGCGAATTGGACGTCCTGTGGTTGAACCAGTGGACCATGATTACCAGGTAAGATAGTAGAAAGAAAGTGAAGGGTCACTGTGCTTCTGTTATTAGATTTTTATAGCTCCTGCAATCTTCTGTATGTGCAAAAACAAAGTCCCAGTTCAGGTAATTTAAAAAAATGTTAAAAAGAAAAAAATCTGAAAGAAAAGTTAAAAACCCGTCCTCTCCCATACACTGCTTAGGTGTAGCCAGAATAAATTTCATGCAGTTGCCAATATGTATAATATCTTTTGGCGAGGGTTGAAATAATTTTCTTTGCTCATGCAGCATATTGTGCTAATTAAGCTACTTTGCACACAATTAACTTTAAGGTCAACTAGCAGCCTGAAGAATCATAAACAGGTTGGTTGTGAATCATAAATACATAATACATCATGCCTTAATAACAAATATATTAATTTTAATTAAGAATAAAATAATATTTAATCAACTATAACCCCATTGGTTAAAGAACTTTGAGTGGTTTGGTCTAGGACAGGGGTAGGTAACCTTGACTCTTTTATGACTCGTGGACTTCAACTCCCAGAATTCCTGGCTCAGGAATTCTGGGAGTTGAAGTCCACGAGTCATAAAAGAGCCAAGGTTACCTACCCCTGGTCTAGGAAGAGAGTTTTCCCTGCTGTTGTTCCCACCCTATGGAACAACTTGACCCAGTGACAGGCCCCCACTCTCCTGGACTTCCAGAAGAGCATTAAAACCTGGCTCTGCCAACTGGCCAGGGGATCTAACAGTGCCATTCAACCCTGGGGGTGGTTGGTGGGTTGAAGGTGCTCCCTCTGCCTTTTAACTCTGCAGTTTTATTATTTTTTTAAAAAAAAATTGGTTTAATATAGTTTTTAATTATGTTTTTAACTATGGCTTTTATATGATTTTACTGTTTTATTTGTAAATACCCAGAGTCGTGCAAGTATGATGAGCAGGATAGAAATCTAATAAACAAACAATTTGTTTTCTTATTTCATTTTATCATCAATTTAAAATGCCTGGCAAAACAGACATATTTTTGTATGCTCCTATATTGTTGAAATCTTATCTGAAAATGTATAAGATTCTTTGGACTTGCATACAATGATTGGGCCCATCAGTTCTCATTTTGTCTTCTTCAACTGTTCATATAATATCTTTCAACAAGAAATTGAATTCCTACGTGTTTGGAATTTTCGAATTCTGTATCAGCTATGGAGCACAAAAAATTAAGGTATGCTTAGTTTGTTTTATTCCCAATCATTTTTACCCAAGATGAATTAAATTAAATTAATTAAATTAAATTAAATTAAATAATTAAATTAAATTAAATTAAATTAAATTAAATTAAATTAAATTAAATTAAATTAAATTAAATTAAATTAAATTAAATTAAATTAAATTAAATTTTAAATTACTCAGTTGATCTCCCTTCCCCAAAGGTTTCTGCATTTGTGGGAAACTTCAGCAAGAAAAATAAATGGTAATGAGTGGGAAAATGGAAGAAAAGGTGAACATAAGATGATAAGTAATGTAAGGACAGTCAAATAATATCTCCCCCATCCTCCAAAAAGATAGCCAGATTGGTGTACTGGTTAAAGGTGCTGGATTATAAACCAGGAGACCGTGGATTCTAGTCCTGCTCCTGCTCTAGAATCGCAAAATCCAGATGGGTGGGTCTGGGTCAGTAATTCTCTGTCAGTCCTAGCAAGAAGGTACTGGCAAGCCACTTCCAAAAAACTTTGTAAATTGGCAGAAATCTGGGCTGACCTGATGGATGAGAAAATCCCGGCATATGCAGAGTATCAAAATAGCTCATATAGGCCTGCTGAGTCCCTTGCATTTCACTGAGAATCCATCATTTTATCTTTCTTTGAAAAATACTTCTCCAAAGATACATTTTCTAAAAATTTGGGATATTTTATTTTACATGTTTATTCAATTTATATACTACCCATCTCACTCTGCAAAGTGACTCCGGGCAGCTCACTATTAAAATAATAAATGTTAAAATATTAAAATGACGGTCTAAAATTGCAATGGTCTTCCAATAGGTCTTTTTCCCCCCTGCTAAACTAGGCAATTGTTCTGGCTGCTCAGTTACCACACTCTCCATAAACACTGTTCATGTGTGTTTTCTGTTCATTTCCAGCAAGTGCAACATCTCTCTGAACGCTCAGCGGCCGTGCGAGCTAAGATTTCCAAGATGGTTGTAGTGATTGTGCTTCTTTTTGCCATTTGCTGGGGTCCTATCCAGTTCTACCTGCTTTTTCAGGGCTTCTATCTCCATTTCCAGGTGAACTATGAAACCTATAAGATTAAGACGTGGGCTAATTGCATGTCTTATGCTAACTCTTCCCTCAACCCTATTGTTTATGCTTTCATGGGAGACAGTTTCCGCAAATCCTTCAAGAAAGCGTTCCCCTTCCTCTTCCGCCAGCGTGTACGGGACAATGGCATGCATTCAGGCTCCCATAATGCGGAGATGAAATTTGTTACTGAAGAGACCTAGCTTCTGTTGTGAGGAAGAACTTTGCTGGCTTCCTTCCCGAGAAAGGATATTTCAACTGACATGTTAAAATAAGATGGTTACTGACTCAGCCATATATGAAAGGTAATTACTTCAATACCACCTACACCAGTGATGGCGAACCTTTTAGAGACCGAGTGCCCAAAAACTGGCCCCGCCCCTGCTCTACCCCCTGTCCCGCCCCTGCTCCATCTCCACCCCACCTGCCCGCAGGGCCATTCACTGCCTCCAGGGCCTGCTGCAGATCATCTAGGCAGCCGAGCAGCGCCATGGCGGCCACGCCCTCTGTCCACACCCCGCAGCATCAACTGTGCGCGATGGGGCGGGAGGGCAGAGTCTTGTCTACGCTGCCTGGCTGCCATGTCCTTGGCTGCACTGCTTCGTGTGGGCCCCCCTCCAGGGGGGCTGCTGGTGAGGAAGGGGTCACGGGGGAAGCAAGGCTGGGGCAACAGCACGTGTGCCCACAGAGAGGGCTCTGAGTGCCGCCTCTGGCACGCGTGCCATAGGTTCGCCACCACTGACCTACACAAAGCAGAATTTTCTGCATCTTAGGCTAAGTAAATTCCATAATGATAAGAACTAGGGGTTCCATATTATTCTTTGTGAATTTTAATTTTAAATGCTTCAGGAATCTGCACTGCTGTATTAGGTTTCAATGCTGGTGGAAGCAAGCCTACTGTTTTGTATTTATGGTCATCTGTAGAATGTAGGTTCTGTACAACTTGAATTTGCCCGGTCTTTGGATGTAAAACGTAAAAATAAAATTTTTGAAACTGATTTTTTTCTCCTGAGGCTTATTGAGATTTGAAGGTTTTGTTTTTTTAAAAATAATAGATTAAAATAATAATAATAAAATAACAGATTAAGATCATTCAAAAGACACGTTCTTGATCCAATGGCAGTTAAGAAGCGTTCCTGTTTAACCAACCCACACGGTACTAATATTTAATATCCACTAATGCCATATCGTTATTTATTTTCTATTTTTCCTCCAGCAGAGTTCAGGGCAGCAGATGGCTTGTCATGTGGCATGTGATTTATTTATTTATTTATTTATTAGATTTTTTTTTATCCTGCCTTTATTACTTCCTAAATAATTCAAGGTAGTAAACATACCTAATATTCCCTCCTCCTCCTAGTTTTTTCACAACACCAATCCTGTGAGGTAGGCTGGGCTGTGAGTGAATGACTGGCCCAAAGTTACCTAGACAGATTTCATTCAGGACTAATGGAGAACTCCCGGTCTTTTGGTTTGTAGGCCAGGACCTTCACCACTAAGCCAAACCGCCAAAACAAACTATCTGATGCGAAAAGATGATGGCCTGATTCAACCAACATGCTAACACTTGACTAGGTTCCCTAAGTACACTGAACTCCAAGCTTCCCTGTCTTATCTCAGTCTGGAACACAGACAGGACTGATTCTTGGGATGTAAGAGCAAACATACACCTGGCTGCCCCAGAGGCATTTGCCCACATAATGCCTGACTGGTATTATCTGAAGTATTTGTTATATGGCCTCCTTGTCAACATGAGTCTTTTCTCTTTGAAACAGCGTTAGCCCTGTCTTTAAAAAACAGGAAAGTCACTCTCTTTATAGTGCTCTAATCCTTGGGAACTTGTGCATGTGCACAGATGAGGGTTACTTATAAGGAATAACCTTCATAGATTACTTCAAGACATCTACTGCTGTGATTATATGACAAGTTTCAGGACAGACCCGCCTTCTTTAAATAGCCCAACCACAGGACAAGAACAGAGGTATGGACCAGGAGAGAGTTCTCCAGGTGCATCTACAGTAAGTCCCTGGCAGCTGAGAGCTGAATGGGATCCAGCTTTCCTGGGATCTACTACTGAACGCAAGAGATGTTCTTTCCAGACTGCACACAGGCTCCCCCCCACTCCTTTCTTCTCTTACTTTTAATAGAGACCTTGGGCTGGTTCACAAAGTCTCCAGTTGAGAATACAGTAATTAGCAATGGCTTCATTAAGCCAGGCAGACCTTCCAAGTGATTCTGGCCGGCTTATCAGTGAGCAGGGGCAACTTTGCCCAGTGGTGTAGGCTCGCTCAAGTTGCTGGAACTCATTACTTGATCAAGCTCCTTGGCAACAGTAGTTGTTGTGGGGAAGAGAAGGCTAAATAATATCTGCCCCTCCCTACACACATCAATTCCCAATGTAATCATTTCTCCTTTCCACTTGTCTCCCCATGACTCATATTTTCTGATGTCAGCAGTCACCCTTTGCCAGGGAGACTGTGCGTTTTGAACAAGCTGGTAACTCACCAGACAGTCTGTTTTCTTTTCGCCCGCCTCCCCACTTTTTATGTTTAGTGTTTGAGAACTCATGTTTGCATGAATGTATCACTTAAGATATATTTATGCACTAACATTCAATCGTTTCTGATTCCTTTCTTTTATAAAATACAAACATTTCAATCTGATGAGAATTGCTTGGGCAGTGAAAGGAGAATTTTTTTAAAAAAAAATCAGAATTCCATCCCTTTCTGTCCTATTCACTGAGACTTATTTACAAGAATGAGTTAGCAGGATAGTTGCCCAGGGTAAGAAGGGACATCAGGTAGCCCCTCATTCTTGTGGGCATGGTAATACACATAGACAAAAGAAGGATGTAGACTTCGTGATAGATTCATCTTCTAGACCTTTCAATGACATACAGATGTCTTTTGCTGTGTGATTGCTTACAGCTGCCATAATATATATGAATTATTGTAGCTGGTTATTTTAGGTAATGGCAAGGGGTTTTTTTAAAACTTATGTAACATTTACCAGGCAGATCCATCCACCACTTTCACTCTGTGAAAGAAATCTCTAGAAGTTCAGTAATACTCTGAACACTCAAATGGACACCAAAACATTCCTTCTTATACTAATAATCAGTAAGCTTGCTGCCTTATTGGGGAACACTGAAGCTCATTAAATGCACACTGTCAGTAAAGTATGCCATAGATATTCTGTGAGAGGCAGAATAGAAGAAGAAAATGAAAGAGTGCCTGCATTGGCCTGATAACTGACCAGAAAAACACAGATCACATTTCTTTATGGAAGAGTCAGCCCATCTTTCAAGATTATACTCCCTAAGGTGCCATTATTCTATCTACATAATTGTTTCTTCAGGAATGCACTCTTTAAAAAAAAGATTTGTGGATATTCACAAAAGGGCATACAAAACAAAACAAACCCCAGTATAAGGACAAAAGATATTGCAGATTTCCCACCTTCAAATCTGCCTTACTCTCCCAAAGTCAAAGATGAAAATAGGAAAAACTCTTCTCCAACCCACTAAACCTTGGCTAAGTAGGTGGTAAAAAAGCAGAGAAGAGAACAATTTAGATCTTTTAGCTCTGAGGTTGGCCAGAGTCTCTGCTACTTTACTATCCAATTCTCAAAGCAGCCCTATGAAGTGGATTAAACTGAGAGATGGATGCTTTACTACTAGACCACACTGTCGTGGTTGTTTTAAGAAGTCACATGTCTCCCTTTCATTCAGTATCTTCTATAAACCACTAATAAAGCACTAATATGTGGAGATA